CCCATTGGACACCACAGTTTTCCCATGCGGAAGTCAGCGCACTTGTTTCTTTTAGTTGTTTTAGATGAATATTGCGATTTAAAATACACAAATGATAACATAATAATTAGAGGTGTAACGATATCCAAGTTTCACGGATACGATATCGTCGTGGTATGAATTCATATTGCGATATCATGGGAAAGATCACGATATGGTGTTGAGACTCACGATTAGGGATGTAACAATATCCAAATCGCTCTCAGTACGATATTTTCACGATATACATCTCACAGTACGGTATTAATATTTTGTGAAGGCTATTAAAAATGTTAATATGAAAATCATCATCTCCCACAAAAATGTTTTCGAAAATTGTATAATGGCATCCTGTTGGATAAGGGGGAGAGCACATATTATGTGAAAGAAAACTGGGAAAGAAAGGGAAGGTTTTACAGTGAATGATTGGGAGCACATACATAAAAATACAATGAATCTCAACAGGGTCAAATATATGCCATGAATTTTGTTGGAAAAACCTAATGAGATTTTTCATTACACCAGTACAAAAGAGATAACAAGGAAGTGGCTTAAACCTGAGCGACCAACAATTGAGGACTGGATTGACATTGTGGGAGAGATCTACACGATGGAAAAGGTCTAATTTTTTTTTGAAAGTGCAGCTGGATTTATTTTACAAGATGTGATCTAAATGGACAGAGTATGTAAAGCCGGTGAGATCAGACTTCATATAAAACAACTTCATATTTGTAATGTTCTGTTAATTTGTGAAAGAGGTTCCCTGTTCCGAGTTTGTATATGTTTTAAAAATGTAAAAACAGGAATGTGTGATTTCAATTTACACATTGCAAGGTGTAATCTGCTTTTTCAATACAAAATAAATTTGAAGAAAAAAAAAAAAAATCTGTTAATATGCTACTTTTTCCTCTTAAAATGCCTTGACAAGATTTAATCCAAAAGAACTAAGACTTAAAAGTGCTTAGAACTGTTATTTCTTCTTGTAGTCTACACTGAAATGGAGCAAAGGATCATGGTCTATGTAGTTCCCTCTGTCTTTTTGGGCTATTGCTGCACCATAACTCTTAATTTAAGCGAAGAGACTTGTAATTCGATATATTGTGATGGTCCACGATATTATTGTGAGAAGTTTGACAATATGATATCACGATATTTCAGTTATTGTTACATCTCTAATAATAGTCCGTATGTAATAGATTATTAACTATATAGCTGGCTCAAACACAATATGTCTTCTTTAAGGGCCAACTCCAGGGAAGTTGTACACCATTAGTAAACTTTTGACACTAAGTACTAAACATTGGTACAGTGGTTGACGTCCCAAGTTCTGGTCCTGTCTTGGTCTTATACAAGGAGGAGTTTGGACAGTATCCTCCAGGAATACTGTGGGTTCATATTAGCGTAAAATATTCACAAACCAAGCTCAAAATCTGGATATGGGTCACTGGACACTGTACAGTTTAATCGAGCAGGATTGTTGGATGGATGAAATGGAAAAATCTAAATCCCCCAATACGATATTTACACGATATGCATCTCACGGTTCAATATTCACTGCAATATTTTGTGAAGTCTTACAGAATTGCCAATATGTTGCTTTTTTCCTTTTAAAAGACTTGAAAAACCTTTGGTACTGTTATAATATGAAGAGTTAAGATTTAAAAGTGCTTAATAAGTTATTTCTTCATGTAGTCTACACAGGCAACACCAAAGGATCATGGTCTATGTCAGGGATGGGCAAACTTTTTGACTCGTGGGCCACAAAAGTTCAAAAATTTGATGGAAGGGCCGGACCAGGAGCAGATGGATGGAGTTTTTTGGTACTTCTCCTCCATAAGAGAAAAATGTCAAATGAATATCAATGTCAAAAGAATATCAAATGAAACAGAAAACCCACACCAAAGTTCTTGTAGAGGTGTAAATGTAAGGAAATACCGTGGGACTTGAAAGACAGATATTTTGTTGGATGCTTTGTAATGATTTTCAGGCATAGCACACTCAGATGGCCAATGTACAAAAACTTATTTTTATTTTGAAATGATGTTTCATCAAAAAAAGCCTTTGTCTGATATTTTTCTTGCTTTGGACCACAGCTTTTTTTGCTGAAGCTATATTATTTGAAAATAAAAAGTTTTTGGACATCGGCCATTTGAGTGTGCTATACCTTTTTTCACTTTTATATTATTGAAATATCCCACAACTGAAAATTATTACAAAGCATTCAACAAAATATCTCTCTTTCAAGTCCCACAGTGTTTACTATTTATGGAAATGACTTTTAATACACTGAAAATTATTATTATTATTATTATTGTTCAGGTTTGGCGGGTTGGATTAAAAAATGATTAAAGGGCCGCATATGGTAACTAATATGTAGTTCCCTCTGTTTTTTAGCTACTGCTGCACCATGACAAGGCAAGTTTATTTGTAAAGCGCAGTTTGTGCACAAAGTAATTCCAAGAGCTTCACAGAATAAGAAATACATTAAAATCACACAGAAAGACATTAAAATCACCATAACTATTCATTGTTTGACAATACAGTATCACAATATTTTATTTAATTATTGTTATAGCTCGAGGACAAAAACGTTCAGGACAGATTTTCTTATGGGAACAATAAAGTGTTTGCTTGTGACCCAGAATACACACTTTTCAATTTTTTTACGAAGATGTGAGTCTCGCCCATGATGAAGTCTCCTTATATTTAGATGGCCGTGATTGACAGGTGGATTAGCAAATCGGGGACATGCAAGGCCCATCATTTTTGGAAAAAAAAAGGAAAAAATATATAACAGGGAGCTAAAAAACATGGCAGATTTATGCAGATTAAATGAGTGAAGATCTAAACTCTGATAATCTGAGGTGAGATAAATTTGATTTTATTTGTAAATGATAAATTGTCATTGAGCTCTTTTGTTTCATGCATTACTGAAAAAAAAAAAAAATCTGACTCGTTCTGTCTCGAAACGGCCTTTCTAGATCCGGCTTTAACTAACTACATTCTGCTATTTATTTATTTATTTATTTACTATATTGTACATTCAGAATACTTTTTTTTTTTTTGGCGTAATCCTGCTTTTTGTTCAATGCGTCAGTCTGATACATCTGTTTTAACATTATTTTTTGTCGTCTATATATATCAAACTTCAAAATGTGTTATTGTGACAGGCCTATCCATAAAGCGACAAAACCAGAACAAAACCAGACCTGAACCGGGTCCAGACCAGGTCTAATCCACTGTTACACACTGTGCATTCGTTTTACAAGCTTGGTTTTATATTTCCTTGCATTCCTTTGCGGTTGGGGCGAATACAGTAGTCTTGTAATACTCCTGTTCCTGTACTGTGTGGTGCAGTATTTTGTATGACCGAGTACATTTCGTAGTTTTTAACCTTTGCGGCACATGTGTAGGTTAATCTGATTGTGCAGCTATTTGTGTTTCTCAGCACTTTTACAGTAACAAGTTTAAAGCTGTCACTAGAGGTCAAGTTAATACAATTTGTGAAGAATTCTTTGTCTTTGTCACGTTTGTTTACATTATTATAATTGATTGACGGTATTATCGACTAAATCCCAAGTGTAATCAAATAAATTCTGATTAGATGATTGTGCATAGTGTGTATTTGCGCTTTGGTTTCTTTGTGTCAGTCTACTTCGCTACACTTTTGCTTTTAATTCAACTACAAAAGTACAAAATCTGCCTTGGTATGTGCACCTGTGAAAGTTAAATGATCAAAAAGCAAACCCAAGTGTGGTTCTCTGCTGCCATCTTGTGACGCTTTTGTGTAAGTGAATCTTTGCAACAGAAAACTCACTGGGTATTGATACTTGGCAGTGAAATCATGCTGAGGGTGTTCTACATGTATCTCTATAGTGGAATATTCAGCAGTTACCATCCATCAACCATTTTCTTCCGCTTATCCGGGGCCAAGTCGCGGGGGCAGCAGTCTAAGCAGGGACTCCCAGACTTCCTTCACCCCAGACATGTCCTTCAACTCCTCCAGGGCGACCCCGAGGCAGTTACCATGGAAACACAATGCACACATTAGCGAGCACTGTCAAAAAAGTTTTAAGATTGTCTCAAAAATGAATGTAAACAACAATTTTCAGGAGAGAAAGCATCAAATTACGGAAGCCCTGAGAGGCAAGAGAAGAAAAAAAAGAGGCAAGTAATTTGGGCTCTATTTTCTAAGTTTTTTGTTTTTTTTTCACCAACTCAAAAAAAAAAAAAAAAAAAAAAAAAATTCTACAAAAAAGTAAATAAAAATTCTACTTTTTTTTTTTTCTTTCTTCCAATTCCAAATTTTCTACAAAATTTGTTTTGCCTGCCTCTCAGGGTTTCCATATCAAATAGTGCAGCAGAGAGAAAAAACAATCAATATACCTGTACAGTATATACTCTTATACACTTATATCTTAGTATAATAAAGCAAGTGACTTTGAATTAAATTGTGTCAAAAATACACAAAACCAATCTAATCCAACTTTATTTGTGTCACACATTTTACAAACAAAACAGTTTCCAAAGTGCTTCACAGCAATGCAACTTTAAAAAGAAGAAGAAAAAAAATCATGTTTAATAAAGACACTAATAGAAAAATAAATAAAATAATAATAATAAAATCAATGAACAAAAATAATAAAATACATAAAAGTAGTACTAAAAAATTAAATATAAAATTGATAAAAAACAATAAATAAATAAATAAAATAAAAGACACAGAGGACCACACAACTCAGGTGGTATTAAAAGCCAGAGAATAAAAGTAAAAGAGAATAAAATCAACACAAAACCATAAAAAGAAGTCTAGGTCAAACAAATAAATGCTTTGTTAATGTAATATTTTTGCTTTCTTGTATTGACAATGCCTTTTTGTTGTCCAATCAATGTGCAAATGTTTGTAATGCCATACTCTTTGCACATTTAATAACTTAGTCTTGAGAAATGTTAGTTTAATGTAATATTATGTTGTGTTGCAGGAGGGCGAGGGAAGGATGGTGCTCCGATCATCACCTTCCCAGAGTACTCAGGCTTCAGCGAGGTCCCGGACGAAGACTTCCTCAATGTGGTCACCTACTTGACCAGCATACCCAGGTGACTAAACTAAAAACACTGAATAATTCTGTACTTTATTATAGCTAATGGACAGTTTTATTTGTTCTTGTTAAATAGGAGTGTACATGTGACTGCACTACCACTTCCTAATCCTAATGCATCCTGTTTCTTATCTCTTCAGTCTGGATGCTGCTAGTATCGGCTTCATCATCATCATCGACCGGCGGAAGGACAAATGGAGCGCAGTCAAGGCCTCTCTCAACAGAATCGCTGTGAGTTTCCTCTATATACGCACTGAACAAACTTACTTTCACATTAGTCAAAGTACATGTCACAACTTAATACTGATGACTTAATGCTTTGTTCAGCACATTTCCATGATGTGATGTGTTTTTTTTTCTCTCTCCAGGGTGCATTCCCAGGAAACCTGCAGCTGGTGCTCGTGCTCAGACCCTCCAGGTTTTTCCAAAGAGCCATCGCCGACATTGGAATCAAACTGCACAAAGATGATTTTAAGATGAAGGTACGGCTGAACCAGAGATTCATTTGAAATTCTGAAAACTCAATATGAAACTTCACTACAAGAAGCAGTAGCACGTTTGTAAAAAGAACGTGTTTGTAAAAGTCTACTCTAAACCATGTTGTATTAATTGCCTTTGTGTTGATTGCTATTTGATAACTGCAGTCAATAGTTTAAAATTGCCTTTTATTACCTATATATTTGCTGCTTTTTCAATTAATTACAATAATTCAAAAAGCAGTTTAAATTACATGATTATTATGCATGCATCCCAAGATGAGGGCAACACACAGCTATACAGTTTTATGTGTTTTTTTGTTGTTTTTTTTTATTGGCCCAGTAACAGCTATTGTTCTTTGCAAGGCAAGGCAAGTTTATTTGTATAGCACAATTCGTACACAAAGTAATTCAAAGTGCTTTACAGAATAAGAAATACATTAAAATCATAATAAAAACAAATCAAAACATAAATAATCATGAAGATTAAAATTAAAAAAGAGAGACATAAAATTGGAGAGAAGAGTGCGGAATGAAAACCTTTCAGTCATATGTTATATTATATTTGCCTGTTTCTTCTTCTCTATTATTATTTTTCCTTATGGGGCCTAAACGTCGATGAAAAGTCCCCAAACTAGTGAAAAATTTGATAAAACGATCATCACGACAATGCCCAAAGTGACCCGACTCAACGCGTAGAAGTGGACCCTTCGGGAGTGGGGTTAAGCAAAGTTTAGCGTTTGCAAAAGGATTTCGAAACAGTGATGGAGAACAATAAGACAAGCTAAAAGTTGAATTGGCACATGGCTCTATCAGGAACAGAAAGTTGGCCATATTGGATCCAAAATTTGCCACCGTTTTGACTACGTGTTTGTAAAACGCTACGAATTCCTGGTTTTGGTCCAAATGAGCTCAGATTTGGCACGTCACGTCTAGAGATCTGTGGGTGGCTCTGATTATTACTATTGCTTATTTACTGTTGACATGTTGTATTTAAAGTGAGAGGGTCAAATATATTCCGCTCTTTTGTCCCATTAAATACATTTGTGTTGTGTTTTCAGATTGTAATGCTCAACTCTGTGTCGGACCTGCACAACTACGTGGACAGAGCACAGCTGACCCGAGAGCTGGGAGGGCATCTGGACTACTGCCACAGCCAATGGATACACCACAGGACGGTGAGGAAAACACACATTATTTGTCATTAAATTTTACCAGAACCAACCAAACTGGAAAGCATTCTATGTCCAAACTGCCCCTACATTGTCAACCGACGTACATTGTGTTGAGTTGTTCATCTGTTTTATTTGTTGGATCTTTATTACAATTTTACATAATATATTGTTTTTAGGTTACTGCTTGCTAATGTTTTTAAAGGAGACAAAATCAACTGTTTTGTTTTGTTATTTTTTGTTATAAGTTACGGTTTTCCCTCACCATCGTGCATGTTTGTGAATGTAAATGGCGATCACCTGCTTGATACAAGGAAATGACACTAAGATGTTTTTATATTGAGTGTAAAAGTGTAATATAATCATCTTTTAAGTATGTTATTATTTACCACATTTATCAAAACTTTGCAAGTCTGAAATGTGAACTGGACCTAAACAGAGGGATATCTGTTATTATTATGTCAACTACTGTTTAAAGCTCAACAATCCCACCTACTTCCGGAAGTAAATTTTCCATTAATTTTCCCATAGACTTAAAGTAAAATTCAAATACGACGAATGGTAACTACCGGTAATATCAATAATGTGGTTGTTATCAATATGTCTAAGACTTGGGAAAATGCTTTAACAACTAAGCTGTGTATAACATTTCAGAAACAGGATTTAAATACAATCATAGGTCTTGTATTCATTAGTTAACACAATTTTTCAGAAAGTCTATGGGACAAATGAATGTGTTATTTAACCCTGGGATGGGATATCACTGTTGCGCTCCATACGCGGCACTCCACAAACTGTTTCACAATGTCTTAATAAAGATGATCTGGTCTCACACCCGTGTTATATTTCACTGTGTTGTGTTTTGTTCACGTTCAGGCCATAGAGAACTTTGCAGTGACGGTGAAAAGCACGGCACAGATGCTGCAGAGTTTTGGCACAGATCTGGCAGAGACGGAGCTGCCCAACGACGTCCAGTGCACCAAAGACATGCTGCTGTCTCACACCGACAAGCACAACCAGCTCAAGGTGCTCAGCTACTCACTATATACTCATAGATGTCAGAATTTTTCCTCTTGCAAAGATATAATATTTAATTAGTTACTGTGGCAAGGTGCTAGATTTTCATCCCTCACTCATAGATCAGGCCAATCATTTGAAATTCTCATAATCTCTTAATATGCCTGATCACAATATACACTGCCCATTTTTTCCCGAAGATATCCCAGTGTAATAAATGTAGTAGTAGAAAGTAAAAATGTAAATGCACAAATTATATCAGATAAATACATCTTGTAATATTTTTACAAAAATGTTAAGTTAATTTGTGAATTTAATTACATTTTTACCACAATGTGTTGGTCCTGCTGTAGATTTTGAAATATTGAAATTACATGTATTTATTATTTTGTATTAAATGCAAAGTACAGGAAGAGGAGAGAAGAGGAGATAACTTAGATTAGTGATATACTCAGATGTTATTGTACATGAAATCAAAGTGAATGTGAGTGAGAATAAAAGGGGCAAAAGGGAAAGCTACAAACAGTTAGCTTGTGTTAATGTCAGGCTCTCTTTTAATCATAATGTAGGTTATTTACTATCAGAATTAGACAATGAATTATTTTTGTTTTGTTCTTCTCCAGGATGAGCTGAAGCTGGCTCTGAAACAGGGCACCACGCTGTTGGGCTGTATAAAGGAACAAGCGGGGAAGTCTGAGTGCCGCAAACTCAACCCGGACGAGATGGAAAACCAGACCACCGTGGAGAGGTAATAGTGGGCCTAAAGTCATGGAGGAATTAAATTTTATAAAGCTTTAATTGGAAAGTAACTACAGTTATAAATCCAAAGTATATTAAGAAAGATCTCAGGTACAACTTTTTTTTTAAATGAACATGTGTAACTTTTCTCAGTGGTGATGTAATTGCTCTAAATGGAATGTTTCACAGTCACATGTGTTTTTATTTCTCAAATATCTTAAAAAACATGCATTTTACTGTGTATATAGTGCACTGTTAAACAAATGTATTCAAATAACTTGTGATGACTTAGCAGGCAATCTATCACCTGCTCATAGGGATGCACATACAGTATGTGTGACTGAGTTGTGGTTTGGTTGTTGCAGACTGCTGGCTCAGTTGGATGAGACGGAAAACGCCTTTGAACAGTTTTGGTGCAAACATCACCTGAAACTGGAGCAGTGTCTGCAGCTCCGACACTTTGAGCAGGACTTCAGAGAGGTACCACTCAACTTATCCACGCACCAGTGAACATTTTGACAAGACATTTTGGTCTTGTGATTTTTTGATACATTTATACTCTCTTTTTTAGTTTTAATCTTACAAAAATATAACATTGAAAAAAAGACTAAAACATTTCAGTCGTCAACCTTTTTTACCCTCCTATCACTGAGTAGGGGCATACTCCTGTTATTAGTCCTGTTTCAAACCCGCCTGTCCTCTTCCAGGTGAAGGTGTCTTTGGACAGTCTGCTGCTGAGTCTGGGCGAGCTGCCAGACACTGGGGACTGTGTGGTCCGAGTGGAGCAGCTGCTCAAGGAGCTGAAGGCTCTGGAGGAGAAGGCTCAGGTCAGTCACACAAAAGAAATACACTGCACTCGTGTTGTATATAGTTTATCTGACAAGGCAATAACACATTATTGAAGTGTGGAGGATTTAATTTGGGTTTGTATTTATATATTCACAGTTATACACAGTCTATAGGCCTATGTATGTTGCCAATTATAATATTTTGTACGATAATCCATAATCCACAAAACAGAGTAGGTTATAATACTTCATCAGCTATGACAAAAACATGTGAATAAAGTAATAAGTAATTAAAAACATATCAAGTTCGTTGGAGTAGATTTGGCTCGTCATGTAAAATGATACCGTACCATACTAAGTACTATTCAAGTACTCAACACAATATTGAGATCCCTAACCCTGATCTGCTTTTTCCCAGGTGTCTCTGGAGAAGGCCCAGCTCCACGCGCAGCACGGGGACCAGCTGATCCAGAGCGACCACTACGCCGTGGACTCCATCAGGCCCAAGTGTGTGGAGCTCAGGAGGATCTGTGACGACTTCAGCAACGAGAACCAGAGGAAGCAAGAAGTGCTCACCAAGTCCCTCCAAATATTACAGGGCATAGACAAGGTCAGTGCACACTATGGGTTCCTCCATCAACCCAAAACATGCACAATAGGCCAAACCCGCCAGGGAAGGTAGTTCTGACCAAGAGTAGCTCAAGATCTAGAGCTGGGTCTCCTGGTCCTGACAGGTTACCCCAGTGGCATTGAAGGATAGGTCAAATACTCAGTAAAGTAAACCTTTATCTTAGCTAATAGTTGCTGTTTGTTGTGCAGGTGAACCAGTGGTGTGAGTCGGGGATCTACCTGCTGGCCTCTCAGGCGGTGGACAAGTGCCAGTCTCAGGAGGGAGCCGAGTCTGCGCTCAGTGACATCGAGAACTTTCTGGATTCTGCTCAGAAGAACCAGCTGACAGAACTGAGGAACCTGCACAACCAGAACGAGATGGTGCTGTCCGAGGAGCTCAAGGTGTGACACAAAATGAAAAGCCTGAGTTTATGTGATTTTTTTTTCAGTATAATCCATTAAATATTCATCAAGTATATTATTAATCAGCTATTAGTTTTTTGGACCATATATAGATTCTAAAACTTGTTATGTCCTTGGAAAATAAGTTTTATAACTCACTCAGGCAGAGCAGAAATGTCATTAAAATGATACAAGAAAATGGAAATGTATTGTTTTATATGAATAAAACGTTTAGACTTTGTATATTCTATAACCTGTATCAAAATTGCATTTACGGGCTGTTTTACAGGCCATTTAATTACTAATTGATAAATAGGGAAAAGATGTACTGACAGATTTATCAGTGAGCAAAATAATGATTGTTTGCAGCATCAAAAGTAAATGCAATACTGTTTCTTTAAGAATTGTATCGTTTGTGATTTCCCAATGAAAAAATAATTCTTCAGATTACATTGTAAAAAGTCTTATAATAGCCATATTCTGATTGACCACTATCCAAAATTTTCAATTACGTTCCATCTTTAGATCAAATGAGAGTGCTGCATTCCAATAAAAAAGACATTTTGCCATAGATGTGATAATGAAATCTACCCCAAACACTTACTTTTATTCCATCCTGCTATTGTTCTAACAGTAATCACAATGAAACTCTTACTTTTTTAGATTGATGTGAGTAAATTGACATTGTATTTTACATTTGAAAACTGCTAAACTTTATGATCTGTATGCTACTCTTTTTAATGCCAATGCTGCCCCCTACAGGCCAGCGTGCTGAAGGCTCTGAAGCGCCTGGAGGACGTGCAGGAGATGTTTGAAAAGAGGAATGTGAGTTTGAAGAGACTGTCGGCCAAACAGACCCGACCTGTGCAGCCCGTGGCCCCCAGACCAGAGTCGTCCCCCAAGAGACCCTCCCTCAGGAACACGCGGAGCACAGGCGGACAACAACGTACGTACAGATAACCATAACGACAATGAAGAATATATAAATGTACATTCTTAAACTGTGTCTCTTGTGAGGTTTAAGCCATGTTAGAATGTTGTTACCTCATCAAAAACATATCTTGAGTTATGTTTTCCTTCACTTCATTGAGTAATATTTTATTATTAGTCCGTCTACATTTCCAAAGCTCAAAATGCTCTGTTCTACGACGGAATGTAGGGGTCAGATAAAAAAAAAAAAATGCTGGCGCTACGAGAATAAAGTCTTTTCATTTCGACATTAAAATCGTAATATTATGAGAATAAAGTCGAAGCCAGAAAAAGTTGTAATTTTACGAGAATAAAGTCGAAGTTAAAATAAAGTCGTGATATTATGAGAATAATGTTATAATATTACGAGAATGAAGTCGTAATAAAATCAAAGTCAAAGTGAAAAATGCGGCAGAAGAAGAACCTTGTTTTTCAATTTAAAACTAAAAATAAGAAAACAAACAACAATTTTCTTCATTATTTGTGCCTCCGGACTGAACCAGGACTAAACCAGGACTAAACCAGGACTAAACCAGGTCCGAGACCAGACCGGGACTGAGACCAGAACTTAGACAAGGACTGAGTCAGGGACCAAGACTGAGACCGGGATCAGACAAGAACTGAAAATGGTTTAGTCCTGGTTCAGTCTTGGTTCAGTCCATATGCGGCGCAATAGTCCCGCATCGCACTTTGAAGTCACGTAAACGCCATTTCCCATTTCCGTGACTTAAACCAGGAGTAAACTAGGATTAAACCGTTTTCAGTCCTGGTCTGGTCCCGGTCTCAATCCTGGTCTTTCTGGTTTGGTTCCAGACTTGATTTAGTCCTGATTCAGTCCTTGTTCAGTTGAATGAACGAATGATACGCGGATTTAGAAAATGCTCCAAATTCTCCATTCTCCACTCATTCATACTTTCCGAGCAGCCTATATTCTCGTAATATTATGACTTTATTTTGACTACGACTTTATTCTCATAAAATTACTACTTTATTCTTGTAAGTTTACGACTTTATTCTTGTAAAATTACCACTTTATTCTCATAATATTACGACTTTAATGTCAAAATGTTACGACTTTATTCTCGTAGCGCCAGCATGTTTTTTTTTTTTATCTGACCCTTATACTCCGTCGTACTGTTCCACCTTGTAGTTTTCAAAGTTACCAGCCACCTTTTACCTTTTTTAGTTTTGTAGAGATTGGCAACTCCTGGACTAAAATTAACCAAGTGATTCTAGTGAACATGTGTGAATGAAACAAAACACAACTCCAAGTCTGTCATATGGACCCTTTAAGTATATAAAATATTTTAAAAAGCAACTATTATTAAGATTGATACATGATTGATTACACTATTGTGAAGAGGTCATAGTTTTTTTTTTATGTATTGTATAATTTATAGTTTTTGACAACACTGTGTGAAATAATAGAACTAATTTTGAGGGGAGGGGAGTATTTTTTTTAACTTGTGTAAAATAATAATCGCTCCTTTATTTTTTATCACAGCTCTGGCTCGCCGTTTGTCTGATAACACCAATAATGGCAAACCCCCAGTGGACAATGATCCCAACAAGAAGAAGAACATACGCAAAGCCAAAGGAGGCATCAAGGTAAGATTTATACACGTTCTTCAGGGACCTATGCATAAACTTACATGCAATTCCTACATTTAAGTACAGTTGTAGTAATAGTAGTGCAAGTTATTGTAGCAGCAGTAGGTAAAGTGTCACGGTTAGTTGTAGTGGGAAATATTTTATATATAGTCATAAACATCATTACGAGTCTGCAATAATACTGATGATACTTTTTATGCTGCATACTTGGAGTTAGAACCAGTAGGAGGCGGTATTTTAACATGAATTTTAAGACCTCTCACGTTTAGGTTTATTTCCAATGGGTTTTTGTTTATAGCAGGGGTGCCAAACTCAAATTCACAGAGGGCCATAATTAAAAACTGGGATGTCATGGGCCAAACTAAATATTCATTGAAAAATTTAAACCTTTTCTTATTAAAATAAATGTTTAATAATAGATTTGCTTAAACATTGAATCCAGAACAAGCATAATAATATAAAAAATAATAACAACATTTTAAATAAATTATGTATGTATAGCCTGTAGTCGACGGGCCAGCTCTAATACATATTTGATGTGATCTCGCGGGCCAAATATAATTACTGTATATCGCGAGTCTGACATGTCTGGTTTATAGGATCTGGAAGCCAAAAAGTAAGGAGCTCATTCTGTTTTGGATAACTGCCTTGATCAAACCAGAAATTGGAGAGAAGAATCATGTTTTTTGTTTGGAAATAATAATTAACATTACTTTTTTAACTGTTAATATCAGTTTCAACACGTAGATAGGTACTGTTTATAAAATATTGAAGCATCACCTTAATCTACTAGGCCTACCTTTGAACATGAGCAGTGATACTATTATGTTCTAGACAGTTACGTGAGTTGAGTGGGATGACAGGGAGGGCTCATATTTCACTCTCCCGTGACAAAAGGCCAGAGCAGCCCTCTCGCTTTTCAACGCGTCTGGTTTCCACTCTTACTCAACCAACTCAGTCACTACACCACCAAAGCGCTCTGTGTTTGTTTAAAGTGACAGTGCATAGTGCCGCCTAGGACATAATGACAAAAACGCGACATAAAAAATAATCCGATACGCACACAAAAACAATAATTTAGGTCACAGACGCTTTTGTCACTTACAGACTTACACATTGCAGGATAAGTAATCAAAACTTTACACATTTAGGATATAGGTACTATGGCTATAATAAATATTTATGATGAAACTACTCGTAAAGTTCCTGTACAGTAATTTTTTTCCATGTATTTGAGCAAAATGTGCATTGCCCCAGTTCAGATACAGAATATTGTAAAAGGAGCTCATGGTCAAAATAAGGCTATGTACTTCCTGTACGGCGTTTTACAGTCTGATTATCAGGAAGTGCACGGTTAGCATGCTATTTGTTAACGTTACTGTGAAAGCAAAACTCCGCTCTGATCTCGAAGTTGTGCAAAATGCTTATAAACTCATCACGGTGAGTAACTAGGATGTTTGTAATGCATAAGTGAGGAATAACTTTGGACCACTACAAACAGTTTTAAATGAGCGACTTGTGTTTTTTTTTTTATGTAGAAATCATCGACAGTGTCTTTAAATATGTTGTTTGTTTTTTTTGTATTTAATATATAATATATAACTGAAAGGTTTTCATTCCGCACTCTTCTCTCCAATTTATGTCTCTCTTTTTTAATTTTAATCTTCATGATTATTTATATTTTGATTTGTTTTTATTATGATTTTAATCTATTTCTTATTCTGTAAAGCACTTTGAATTACTTTGTGTACGAATTGTGCTATACAAATAAACTTGCCTTGCCTTGCCTTTAATCCAAAAGCAGAATAAGTTCCTCACTTTAGGTTCCAGATCCTACAATTTAAGAAAGTTTGCAATAACATAAAAGTGTATATAATATAACATAACATTACATAAAATAGTCTATAATATACTGTTTCATAGAATGTGTCCTCAGTATATGCCAGGCTCAGTTGAGATGTGAGTGCAGTGTTACAACTGTTACATTTAAAGCCCCACTGTGTAATATTTCTGCATAAAACTCCCAGGATAGAGCTGCTCGATTATGGAAAAAAATCATTATTATGATTATTTTGGTCAAGATCGAAATCACAATTATTCAAACGATAACACAATGCATTTATTCAGCAATTCTCTCTCAAAAAAAGCACTTTGTTATTGATAATTTTAAGCAAATATATAATACAAATATGTACCTTAGAGCAGTTTTGCGATGTATTAAACTTAAAATGAATAAAATATACTTTGACCATGAAATAAGGCATAGAAAAGCATAAATGTATCAAAAATAAATTATATATCCAGTTGGTCTATAATCCCTATATTTAAAAAGTAATATAACTATACTTATTTATATAAAAAACCTATCCCAAAATATACTTTGTTAAGCTTTAAATGCTTTCAACTCGATTATATGAGTTTGGAAATCGTTTGACACACAAATCGAAATCATTATCAAAATTCAATTAATTGCTCAGACTTATCTCAGGATTTTGCATAATACCTCCTCTTTAAGTAACATTAGGTACAATTTCTTGAAAAAGGTAATACTGATGTCATTACTACCCTCATTTTTACATGAATGAATGAATTCAGTTTATTTCTTTTTTTATCTTTTATTGATACAATAAACAGTTGCAGTATTAGTAGTAGCAGTTGGCGTCAGTTCAAACGTTGGTCTTGGCAAACATCATCCAAACACTAGAGCAAACTGATCCACTGCAAACCCACACAGTCTTATTAAATATTAACCCACGGATGACTGATAAGGGGAAAAAAATGCCCAGCTCCGCACCTTTAACGTTTGGTTCCTATGGTTCCCAGTGCAATAAAATCCCTGACTGGGAAAAAGCATGTCCAATGTCCATTTTTTTTATTGTTTGGACATATGTGACATGTTTAGATTATCGTACTGGTTTAACCGTCACATGTCACTGTACAAATGTGAATTTAAGAAGTACACCAGAATGAAACCCAGGACTAAACCAGGACTAAAGCAGGAAACCCCAGGACTAAAGCAGGACAAACCCCAGGACTAAACCAGGACAAAACCCAGGACTGAACAAGGACTAAACCAGGATGAAACTCAGGACTAAAACAGGACTAAAGCAGGACGAATCCCAGGACAAAACCCAGGATGAAACTCGGGATTAAAGCAGGACTAAAGTAGAACAAATCCCAGGACTAAACCAGGACTAAACCAGGACTAAACCCAAGACTAAATCCAGGACTAAACCTGGACTAAACCAGGACGAATCCCAGGACTAAAGCAGGCGGAAATCCAGGACAAAACTCAGGATTAAAGCAGGATGAATCCCAGAACGAATCCCAGGACGTATTCCAGGACTAAAGAAGGACTAAACCAAGACAAAATCTGGACTAAAATCAAATCCAAACAAGGGATGTTAAAATTATTCAGGTAAACGACTATTGTAGATATTCAGGTAGTATCTAATTAGATTAAGAACTAAATATTTTGTCACAATTTTAAAATAATATAGGCAGTGAAAACCACATTTCCACGGAGTCAAGATAGTGGGTCTTCAAACAGAAAAGAAGTGCTCACCCTTTTAAACTCCATGGATACTTTTATGGATAATTTCAGCCCTGGAATTTCCTGTCTCTACTAAACTAACAATAAAAGGTTGCTGTTAGCTTGTAAACTACAGCTTCATGACATCACAAGGTGGAACAGAGCATTTTAAGCTTTGGAGATGAAGACAGACTAATAATAAAGTGTTATTCAAACATCTTGAATGAAACAAAACACAATTCCGAGTATGTTTTTGAGGCAGTAACAGCATTATAACGTGGCTCAAAGCTCAAAAGAGTCCATTTTGTGTAATATCGGACTTTGAAAATATCACTTAATCGTGCCATTTGTTCTGTTTTCTTTGTTGTAGATTGAGGTGATGCACGAGGGGAGCCAGGGCGGGTCCACTCAACTGGTCCTGACCAATGAGACGGAGGAGAGCCTGTCCAACCGCCGCAGGTGAGGTCAAAGTTCGAACTCCTGGGGGCTATTGTTTCAAAGAAGGAGGTTGGGGTCCTTTGCTTTGAACGCATTGTCCTTCGAATTGCTGGGTTTCAGATAACAACACACAACAATCTATAGTGTTGAAAATACTATAGTAGTAAGTCGCCATGGTCAGAATTCCTCAAAATGGTATCTACAACAATATAACTCGGACAGGTGAGTCGGATAAGGTTGCCAGTCTAAATGTTTGAGATACTTAGGTTTTAAAGTTCGTGTAGCACCAACATGCTTTGACAAAACTTGTAGCAGACGTAGATCGATATATCGCTTGGCCAATTTATCGATATTTGCACTTTTAAACATATCATCTATCGGCCATAATCTTCAGAAGACACTGATACTTTTTTTGGCCCAATAAGTACCGTAAATATGCATGAAAAATGTTTGCATGAAGCTTTGTTTGAACACTTTAGTCCAAAGAGGGTACTGCAAAAATTATGACTACCGTATTTTCCGGGCTATTAGATGCGCTCTTAAGCCTCTAACTCCATCAAAAAACGACTGTGCGCCCCGTAATCCAGAGCGCCTTATATACAAATCCACTCGAGTGTTCCAACACAACTTCAGCAAACTACAAAGCCGCACCAGCCGCAGCACTCGCAAACACACACGGAGCAGACAGCGACCATGCAGCGAAAAGCACCCGCAACCACACTCATCACTCCACACGGACGAGGAATGGAACGGAGGAACGAACCAAAAAAGCCAGTGCAATGTGCCTTTCTGACCCACAACTGAACACCTGAGTCACTGCGAACACGCCGACAATCCAGTGGTCCCAGACAGCACCCTCCCTATACGCCACAACTGAACAAAGCCCAGAGTCACCGTGAACGCGCCAAACAAAGTCCGACTGACCCATCGAACTGTTGTGTTTCGTTTAAAGTCCGTTGCGGTTTATTTGTGAAAAAAGTTTGAAAATAGACCATTTAATGAGTGCGTCTTATAATCCAGAGCGTCTAATAGCCTGTAAAATACGGTACACTAGACTGTACACAGTTTGTAGTAAAAGAAGGAGTTTGTACTAAATTTGAATTTGATAATTTGAGGGAAATTACCTAAATCAGCCCAAAAATATCGGCAGAGATCATTGGCCATCGGTTCCTCTGGATTTTAAGCAATCAGCCATGAAAAAATACATATTTGTGTGGTCTCTAACATGTGGGGTCTGGAACCATATTTTGTCTCTCCGATTTACATGATTGACAGGTGGGTTAACCTATCAGAGAAAGGCATGGTCTCATTGCGTCAAAACAGTAAAGTAAAAAAAAAAAACAATGCAGAGGACTCAGAAACAGTGCAGAATCAACAAGCGTAGCACCAAATTTATATTGATCTCAGGTTAAAAAAGATATATGTTTATTCTGAATTGTGCAAGGATTTCAATGTCCTCCGCGTTTGAGACAGTCCACGTAGGTTGCAGTTCTGGAGTATGACGGCGCTGGAGGAAAACAGTTTCTGGTAGCTTCGTGTTTGATTCTTCTCAAATCTCTTGCAGATAATTTGCGTCTTTTTTTTTTCCTCAACACGTTTCTTGCCACTCTGTTGACAACAAAAAGTCTGATGGTTCTGTGACCACGCCCCAATATCTTTGCAGTTTCAAGAGTTCTGCATCCCTCTGAAAGACTTTTTTTTATGCTTTTTGACTTCTCAGAGTCAGTTAAATCGCTTTTTTGGCCTGTTTTGCCTGAGGAAAAGAAGCTGCCTAAAGATAATAATTTTGATATAGGGTGTTGATCTCCTTAAGTCACACCCCACCTGCAAATACACATCAGGTGATCTGCTAAAATCCAATAAGTATTAAAGTTTATACAGCTATACAAGCTTGGAGTTGTACAAATTCAGTTTACAGTGCACTATATTGACTTATCGTTCACTGTAATATGATAGCTGGAACAGTATATTCTGTGACCAGCGTTTATCACGTGCATGTTTGTATTGCAATAGTGGGGAAGTTTCTGCTGTTTATTTGTTGCAGCTCATGCTTTTTAATTATACTATTTTTAAAAATGGTTTACTGGGATTATCCTGCTTTATTTTTTATAGTGTCAGTGGTAAAAATTTGTTTTAAAATTTTTGTTATCGTGATAGTCCTCTGTAGCAATTATATGCTTCAAAAACAAACAAAAAAAACTTCGAAAAATATTAATGTTTGATGATTTTCTGGCAGCTATGGCAGTTTTACCGCCAAATTGATGACTTGAATCATGAAACACTCCCAGCGTACACACAAAAGGCACAAAGGTTAATTAAACTTTCTAATGCTAATATTTGCTTTTGGAATGTTAATTAAAAACAGGCTTTTGTCATGGCTCATATCAGTCATGTGTCTCGCAGTATTTACTCACTTTCTGCCTGGCGTCAAAATGCATGCTATGTGCTGAGTAATATATGAAATACGCTGAGAGGACATGCTGAGAGATAAACAGAGCGGATGTTTTGTCATTTTAGCAAGATCTACTAAAATAATGCTGTGATTTTTACCATATAATAAAAGCTATCATTTCCGAATGTCTTTTACAATAAGTTAGTCGATTAGAAAATGCCAGTATCAGGAATTCTGTTACTATTATGTGACCAAACAAAGCATGAGACCTTGAAAGGGAATGCACACATTTAGATTCATAATATATATGAAGGATTAGTAGCAATGTTTTGTTTTTTTATGATAATATTTGTGAATCTACCTTCTCTAAAATATGTCACCTTGTTTAACCAATTTAAATTTTCTTTATTTTGAGGTGTTGTTGGTTTAACTCTTGGTTTAACTCTTAAAGTCTTGACTTTGAACTTTAAAAGAACTGTTTGAAACTAATTGTATGTAGTGAGTGTGTTGTGTATACAGTGAGTGTGCTGGTGTTGTGAACTTTAGTGCTTGTTGTGATTTTACATCAACCTGCCGAGGGACTGAAGATGGAAATTAGCCATGTTGGCTATAATCTTTACATATTTAAATTTTTAATGTTCATTAATATGTACTGTCCCTTTACACATAAATAAAAAAAGAAATAAGAAAATGTTACAATAGGCCCTACTCACGGAGCTGCATGGATAGTTCTGATTCAGTAACCGTGAAACCGCACTTCCTTTTCGTGCTGGGAATTTGCCGAGTTGTGCTGAAAATTAATCTATATTCAAATATTAGAGAAATCACAGCAGATTACAGATACATGATCACAGATAGCGTGTTAAGATCTTTGCTACGAGCTTCTGTGTTTAGGAAAGTAAGTGTGTCTAAAAGGTAATGCTAATCTAAACCTAATCTAAATCTCAAAAAAACAACTTTATGAAAATACTAATCTGGTCTAATGACAAGTGACATTGTTTTTCTGTGTGAGATCATTTAGATCATAGCGCTATTTTAACATCACTACTAAACGTTGATTGCAGTTATCATTACCTTTGAAACACAAAGACCAACTTCTCTGAACACGAAGCTTCGAAGCAAAGGTCTTAACACGCTATCTCTGTTTATGTATGTGTAACTTAATGTCCTCTGTCCAATATTTAACTATAGACTTATTTTAGCATGACTCGGCTAATTCCCAGCACACGATGAATGGAAAAGGAAGTGCAGTGAATAGGACTAATACATTACAGGTCAGAAGATCTTAGAGAGGCAAAGTCGCTCACAGTGCATGTTTTTGCGGGGTTTTTTTTGCATTAAACACCTGCAATTACATAAATACAAAAAAAATAATTGATGTCATATTGGCATCTTAAGATGTTCACTTATGTCAGTACATTAACTTGAGAATACCTGATCTCATCACATCCCAGAAGCTAAGCAGGGCCTGGTTAGAACTGTGATAGAAGACCTATAAGGCAGCAGTGATTCAGGACTAGTGTATACAGTTGTTGTTCCTTGTGCAAGACACTTCACCCATCTTGGCTCCCATGTTCATGTACACTGATGTAAGATTGAAAGAGTGTTTATTAGAGCAAATACTGGACACCTGTACCTCATGTGTGTACACTGTCGCTTAAAGAAAACCAAATAATAATTGTTGTAAGCAATATAATATGGACATGCTGACCCTGAAAAGTAGACCTCTTCAAATATATTCTGAAATTATGGGGTCTGATGTACAATGCTAGCCTGATCCATCAGCCGGTTTCACTTCGTGGAAACTGTCTGACCTTGCAGCATTAGGATTCGTTCACTCAACAGTAGGTGGGAACCTTTTAGCATTTAACCAATTACTGCTATTTGGTCATAACATATGTAATGCACCGCTAACAGGGCTGACTGGTACATTAAGCTTTTCCCAAATCCCGTAGGAAGAAGGGCAATAACATCTTTTCCCTTGATAAAATTCTCCAAACACTCTCTTTGTTGTGGCTTTAAATCCTCGATCTCTAGAATCGTTGCCAAAACAGAATGCATGGCTCTTCACTGATTGGCTGGTGTCCGAACTCGCACTTCCGGGTTCTTGCAAACCGTTTAGTGTATTCCGATTTCTGACCTGGTCGCTGGCAAGAAATGAAATTGAGCTGAGGCACTAGGTGGCAACAGCCTGACCAGTACGATGTAGGACAAATGACCAAAGGCAATCTAAATAAATGATTCTTATGTGAGACTCATATTGAAACATTTGGACATTTTGAGCCAAATTAACCTTAATAATTAATAAAATAAAAAATAAACACCATACAATTTTAATACACTGAAGATTTAAATTTCAACAAATTTTTAAACATATTTTTGTTGTAAATCAATCAGATTTGCAACAAAAATATGTACAATTATGTGTATTATAGTTGTTCAACTTTTCTCTTGTTGCTGTAAAACCTGATTTCTTGCAACCAGTAAAAACAGAAAATGTTCAGTGCTTAAATATCTTCATTTTATTCCAAGACTTCCATGTTACATTTACACAACACTGAAATTGTAAAGGACAGCACGACATATTATCTAACCTTCTCCTTTCTTATGTATTCGTAAACGCTCCCATGCATCCGTACGTATTTTGCTTATGAGGTAAACACAACAATGCCATCTTCACCGCTGTACAGTACAAGTTCTTCAGAAAACTTTTGGACAGTTCCTTCACTTTGGGATGTGTCGCCTCTTTCCACAGCTCCTTCACGTCGTCCGTGTGTCCGTGCGAAGTGATCATATCTGCGTAAATGCACGGGTGATACCTCGTAATAGCCTCTCCCGAAAAAAACACATAATCCTGGGGGGAAACTCCGATAGCTTGCGCGCACATCCCCATGAAAACGTCATCGATGTACATGGAAGAGTTTAAGATCTGCGAAACTTGGTGGATTTTTGCTGCTACGTCTCTGGAAACCACGTAACCCGCCCCAGCTGTGTAGTCCGGGTATGAAGGCCACGGGTACAACTCCACTGAGACGTAATATTTGTTGTTCTGACGTCTGATTGGAGGAGAACCCCTGTGTACATGCCCCACCCAGAAGTTAGTCACACTCTTTTCCTCCAAACTTCTCAAATATCTGACCATATTCGGCATGTGAACGAAAATATCGTCATCGGCGGACATGACGAACTTGGCTTTGGGGCAGTGCTTGGCGAACCAATGGAACTGCATGATCAGCTTGGTAGTTAAGTTATGAAAAGTATCCATAAAGTTTTGCTGGATGACGTCGTTGTAAATCCGATTTTCTTTTCTGATGCGTGCTTGACTCTTACTTCTTTGCGTCGTATCTGGATGCACACCAAGAACGAAGACAATTTTAACGTTTGCGTCCAAATTCTTTAGAATATTGTCCTCGTTCCCCCAAGTTTCCCTGATATTGCGTCGCCGTTGATCATTCTCTGGAGACGATTTCACCAACAAAAGCAGAAGGATGTCGTCACTGTCGCTACATTTTTCCAATTGGTTTATAAGGTACGGATGCAAAGGCGTTGGAGCTAAGAAATTCCCAAATCTCCGTTGACGATCATTCGGACTCAGCGTGTACGAAGAGTTGAGGAAGTCGTAGCTGTTGATCAGGTAGCGGTAGGAATAGGAACGGACGTGGCTTACGACGTGATGGTCCAATTCCTCCCAGCAAAGCATAACAACGCTGAGAACCAAACCGGTGGTCAGCACTTGAGCGATCTGGAGTTTACGAAAGCGACGGAGATTTATAAACATGGCGGAAAAAATGCAATAAATAACTCCTAAAGACGATGGTTTCAAACTCTCCTTCCGACAATTTGCAGTTAAAGTTTTCAAGTCCAGTTCGTTTCGTTTTGCCTCTTTAACAGTCCAGGTTTGGTGAAGGTGATGGAGATGTGTGGTAGGTCCCTCATAGTGAAAAAACAGCAGCAGATCTGTTGCAAGTGGATGTCAGCATTGTGTCCATCTTGGTGGAAAAGTGGCGGTTGGTGAGGCTATGAGGTTGTGTGGTCAGGCACCTGAAAAAGCCAGGAAAAAAAATGTTTAATTTAAAAAAAAACAAGTATGAGATTTTGATTTAAAATTCTATAAACAATCTGCATATGATCTATAATGAAGAAGAATGGTCTGAAATTTGTAAAAAAAAAAATAAAATAAAATCCTAAATGTACACCTATATCAATACATGAATAAAATCATAAATTATTTCATCGATTCTATTATACCCCAGTGCATCTTGGTTATAAATGTCAAAATTATAAAGGCACTTTAGTACATCTATTCTGGGATTGCGAATATTTTCATCAATTTTGGAGAGATGTACATGTTGTTACTCAACAGATTACGGGAAAAACTTGAGTCCTGTCATTATCATTGTATCTGTAAAATTTTTGTCCTGACAAACTTTTTGATGTTACCCAGTCTATGTTAATGATTATGATGTCTTTGGCAAGATAATGTGCTCTTTTGAAGTGGGTAACCCCGCACTTACCCACACTGGACTTATTTGCATATATTTGTTTGTTTTTTTGTATCATTATTAATGATGATGTTATTATGATTATTATTTATTTATTTATTTAGGATGAAGGGGGGTTTGGGAATGGGGAGGAGGGGGGTTGAATGTGGGATTTGTATATTTATACATCCTGTGGCATTATTGTGTGGCCATAAGACCACAATATAGGGGGAAAAACTAAATAAAATATATATGACAAAAAATGTAATTCTATAAACATGACCGGTCTGTGTCCTTAGATACAAGGTCGACAAATCAAATACCTTTTACTGATAAGAATTGTTCTTGAGGGAATAAGAAATCTCATCGCAAATAGTTTTTTTTTTAAATATAGTATCATCACCAATATTAGATTATCAGAAGTATTGTTTTCGTATATTGGACTATGCAAACAGCAAAGATTGGTAGAGCACATTGAATTAAAGCAGCATGATTAGATCAGCTGCTGTTTGCTTAGTCAGACTTATCAGACTATATAACATGCCAAATATTTGTGCAATTTTAACTTGGATGATTTCCAGAAAATTGCTTCCCAGTAACGTTATTTTCAGTGTCTAGAAAAGCAGAAATATAGTGAATTAAACAAAACAAAAATGCAGGTGAAAGAGTCTAAGAAATCTTATAATACCCAACAGTTTTATAATACTTTGCTGAAAACAGGACTAAAAAGTTTACGTTGAAATTTTATTGTGTTGGCATCTCTGTCCCGTGACTTGCATTGCAGCATGTCAGACAGAGAAGTTTCAATTTATTTGGACAAAAGTTAATAATTATTTACTTTCTGTCTGTAAAATCCACACTTATCTCTACATAACCTGTGCTTAGTGACCCAAGCTTTTTCATTGTTTTCCGGGTTTGACTTGAAAAACATTCCTCATTTTTATATGGTCATAATTCTGTACACGTCACCAGTGTTTTTCCTCAACGAGCGTAAATGGACAAATACACATACAGTATTTTTATCCAACTTTGCACTTTTATTTGAATCTAACGTCCCTCATCGCAATTAGTCTTGTCACGAGACTAAAATTTCAGACTGATGCTCGAAAAATCCAAGCTTTACAAAACGTCCGGTGGTGAGGTGATACTCAAGGATGAACTTTAAAATGTTCTGGTTGTAAAATACACTCTGATGCAGGATGAAATCATAATCTGACTATGACGAAGGTTTTCCGAGTGGAGTCTTTGAAGCTTGCCTTAAAATGGTCCTGTGTGATGTTATGCAAATAGGGTCATAAAAGTGTGAGCGGTTGGAAACAGCATATATAATCATCTTCTACATGCAGATAACTTCGTTGCATTCAGTCCCAACAATTTTGACCTTCAAGAGCTTCTAAATGTATATTCACATTATGACACAAACAATAGGGACGTAGCAATAACTGAAATATCGTGATATCGTATTGTCAAAAGTCTCAATAATATCGTGGGGCATCACAATAGCTAAAAGAAACAGATGGAACTACATAGACCATGATCCTTTGCTCTGTTTCAGTCCAGTTTACAAGATGAATTAACTTTTTAAGCACTTTTAAATCTTAACTTTTCGTTTATGAAAGATCCAAAGGTTTGTTAAGACATTTTGAATGTAAAAAGTAGTATATTCAACCGCCGCATGTATATAGGACTGAAGTAGTTGATGTATGAAGTTAACTTATACATATGTACTGCCCTCAAAGTACTCTAGGCTATACTTATCTGAGTAGTTTTTTGATGCATAATTTTCACTTCTACGGAAAATATATGCGTATATTTTTAAATGAAGTAACAGTAGTCTAAAATGCTACAAGTCTACAAGTGTATAATAAAAATACTAAACAAAATCGCAGACTACACTTATCTGTTTTATCACTTTGTTTTTATGTCCTTGTCCATTGTCATGAACTGTTATTTATCACTTATCACAAAACAATTGTGTAGTGAAGTTGAAGGCCACATTTTAAACAGATTTATTACCACTGTTGGGCAAGTTACTTTAAAACTGTAATGTGTAATTTATTATTTGTCACTGTCATTTCAAAGTAATTACATTACAATATTACTGTGTTTAAAATGTAAAACATTGCGGCACTTTTAAGTTACTCTCACCAAAATAACTGTGAAGATGCTGAACTTTTGTGCCGTATATGGACTGAATCAGGTCTAAACCAGGACTAAACCAGAACTAAACCAGAACTGAACCAGAACTCAACCAGGACTAAACCAGTTCTAAACCACAACTGAACCAGGACTAAACTAGATCTAAACCAGGACTAAACTAGGGCTAAATCAGAGCTGAACCAGGGCAAAGTGCGATCGGGCGTCGGCTGCGATTAGCCTCGTGGAGCATGGAGTTCTGCGCCGGTCCTTGACGGTCTACATGGGCGCACCTCCGCTGCTGATATCACGGTGATTTTTGTGAATTTGTATGGAGAAAAACCCACTGCTTCAATCAAGGTTAACAAGCATTGTAACGCGCATTACTGACATCCGTACCAAGTAAAATATTAAAATTTTTTTCCTTGTACATTTCCTAGCCTGATACGACCTCGCAGCGTTAAGATTAGTTCGCTCGACGGTAGGCGGGTACTTTTTTTCATTTAATCAATCGCTGCTATTTGGTCATGACATATGTAATGCGCCGCTAACAGAGTTAACTGGTATATTAAGCTTTTCCCAAATCCTGTAGGAAGAAGGGCAATAACGTCTTTCCCCTTGATAAAATTCACTGAACATTCTCTTTGTTCTGGCTGTAAATCCTCGATCTCGGGAATTGTTGCCAACACGGAATATATGGCTCTTTGCTGATTGGCTGGGACTCGTACTTCTGGGGTTTTTGTGATGCGTCTAGTGTATTCTGATTCCTGACCTAGTCGCTGGAGAGAAATGAAATTAATCGGAGGCACTAGGTGGCAGTGGAATAGATGATATTCATGTTTAGCGTGATGAAAACGCTGTTCCGCGTTTTACCATGTTTTCTCAATCCTGGCAATGTTTCTAAAAAGCCAATAGATTACGTTACAACATGTTTCATTCATTCATTTGGCTAAATTACTTTTTTGTGTGTGTGAATGAAAATACTGTTTTACATTTAATGTGTTTTCTCAATCCTGGCAATGTTTTTAAAAGCCCAACAGTGGATTACATGTTTATTCAAAGATTAAATGTTTTCTGTGGCAAAATGTTGGTGTTTTTTTGCCGAAGAGGAAGGGTTTTCGACAGTGGGCGGAAATCACTAAAACCAATCTGGCACCACTGGTGACAGCTAAAATGTGCCTAGATGTTTTTTGACTATTAGAAAAGTGCAGTTCTTCAACTTTCAGTTTACAAAGCAAACCTAGACTTCTGTGTATTTATCCAGAAACCCTTTGAGAAAACAGCTTATTACAAACTAAAGGATCAAGCTTGACGCCGAAGACACAGCCTGACTTTCTGTTCCTATTTAACCAAAAACCAAAAACCTCAAATGCAAGTGTGTGGATCCAAGAGATGAAATTACGCCAAACCAACATTTTTATGCATCACTTCTCATGTCAAAAGTGCAACATGAGCACACAATGAAGGTCTATGGTTTTGTTTTATTTTTTTATCTGTGTGTAAAAGAGATTACTGCTGATAGAGCCTAAGCAATGCAAATTAAGGTTGTCAAAAACATCGAAAATCAGATACTAATCGAAACTATGCACTCATCTGAGCAAGTATCGACACTAAAAAAGTTATATTCATCTTTAGAATGATCTTGAGCAGTATCAGAACATTTTAGATCTGCACTGAAAAGTAAAAAGTCCTTTTCTTTATGGTTTGAGACCTGCTGAAATGGCTGAGAATTATCTTTAGCACGTTTAGTATAACTTAACATCCCAACTTTGTGCAAAACACACACACAAAAACACAAACACAGCTAGAAAGTTAATCACTTATACCACTACATTTGTCAAAGAAATCACTGCAGAACACTTTTACTTTTACGTTTTGAAACTTAAGTAGATTTTTTCATGTGATACTTTTACTTTTACTTGAGAATCTTTTGCTTTTTATATCTGTACTTTTACTTAAAGGTGCACTGTGTAACTTTTCTGGTGCAGGGTCCGTCAAATGCTTTTCTCTATGGAGACCAAACCAAACAGAGTTACAGGTCAGATCTGTGGAGAGGCAACCCCACTCACAGTCAGAAAGCCTGTTTTTCTAGGTATTTTGGAGCAATAAAACCACCTGTAATTGAATATAGTATTTAAAGCTGTTTAATGCCATACTGTGGAACATTCCAGACAGAGCAAAAACATCTAGAAAATGAATCACTTAAAATCAGCTAAAATCTTTTTCAAAACTACTACATTTGATGCTGTCGTTGTCAAAGAAATCTCTCTTTTACTTTTACATTTTGAAACTCAAGTAGATTTTTTCATGTGATATATGTTTACTCGCTTTTTGTATCTGTACTTTTACATAAAGGTGAATTGTGTAACTTTTCTGGTGGAGGGTCCGTCAACTGCTTTTCTCCACGGTGACCAAACCAAACCG